AAACTCCTCCAGTGGTTCCATGTCACTAGGGGAACTGACATGTGGAAACTTGTGTTTCCTGTGTGAGCCCTGTGTCCCCTGAGCAGTCCTGGCCTGTGCTTCACCCATCTGCACCAGAAGACCCCGACGACCCCGTGGTAGTGGAATCAGCACGTCTGGGCCAGGGGTTCCCACGGCTTACCGGCAGCTTGCTGCTCTTCCTCAAGTCAGCAGGAGTGAAAATATTCAGGTAAAGACAGTCTTCGGACAACTTGATAGTAATGTTCTCCTTTCTGTTGGTAAAGAGGTCGGAGAGCAGCTGTCCTCCTACTGCGTCTTGGAGGCACCTGGGGAGGGGAGAAAGAAGACCCTCTGAGGTTAAACCAAACCTGAATAAGGTATCTCCTGGGTCTGGGCCGGGCCTGGATCTGGGAGGTTTCAGCCTGTAATTGGACTTGCTGCTGCCAGACTCAAGGGGCTGGAAGGGACAGGAGGAATCTGAGGGTTCCAGGTGAGGCCCTGGGACTCACCAAGTCCTCTCAAGGCCAACCAGAGTGAGATGGCCTTGGCACCTCTCCCTTTCCTGGGGCTTTGGGATGCCCTGGCTCAAGGAGAGGAGCCTGTATAGATGCTGACCTTCCCTGGGAGGTGACATTTCCCACTGTCTGTGGGGCTCTAGATGGTGGCTGCAGGGTGACCCTGTTCCTCCACCAGGTAAACATGTTCCAGTCCATGGAGACTTCCATACACCATGAAAAGTCATTCATGGCAGACAAAGATTTAGGGTCTCCAACAGATCAGGGGTGAAATCTTTATGGGACAACATCTGCATTCTAGTCCTGCCTCACCCACTCATTTCCTGAGTAAAGTTGGGTGAATTCCTTTCTTGCTCTGCGTCCCAATCAGCCCTGTGTAAATGAGGGGAGTGATTTCTAGAAGGTTCTTGCAGCTCTGACATGCCAGGGTTCTATCATCAACTCATCCTCAGAAAGCTCTGTTGGTTGCCCTGATGAAAGATCTCAAAGATCCAACATAGATGAAAACTGGTAACATTCATTGACTCTTCCAAGTGTGCCAGGCACTGTTTGAAGTACTTTTTATTGACTAACATCTTTAAGCCTCAGATCCATCCCATGACATAAGTCCTATTATTATTCCTATTTTACAGATGAAAAACCTGAGGCACAGAGAGGTCAGAGAACCTGCCCAAAGCCACATGGCCAGGAAGATCCACGCTATGTGGGTACATTTGCGAGCACATTATAAGCCACGTTGGCAGATCTCAATGTACACAGGAGGCGGCATTGCAGCCCCACTGTGCACGTGAGGACGGAGGGACTCAGAGGCCAGGACGACACAGCTGTCAAGTAGCAGAATCAGAGTCAGCAAAGTGACTTCCTGATTTCCATTCAGGAGATTTTGTTCCCAGATCACCAAGAGCCAGGGCAGAACATTTAGCAAAAACGAAATTCAAAATGTGAAGGAAGACAAAAATAATTCAACTTCACTAGTATTCAGATAAATGTAAATAAAAAGCAAAATAATATTTATCACTATCATTTTGCAATTCAAAAGCTAAAAGATTATTTTAATAACTCTAAACATTGGCAAGAGTCAGATGAATAGAGGTTTTCATACATTAACAGAAGGATTCTAGTCGAAACATTTGTGGAGGGAAATTTAACAAGAATTGCAGACGTTTGATTCTGCAACGTCATTTCTTGAAACTTCTAAAATAGTCATGAATGTGCACAGAGATTTAATACAGGCTGTTCATCACAGTGCTATTTATATTGTCAAAAACAATGTAATGATCCTAAATAAGAAATTGGGTAAATTAATTATGGTTCAATACCCAACGTAATGGAGCTATTAAATGCCAGGGTATGCAATGAGCAAAGGCATCCAAACTATCCGTACATATGATGCCATTTTCAAGAAAGAAAATATGCAACAGATACAAGGCTGGGAAAATGATCGAAAATACTACAGCAATTCTCTCTGAGTGGTGGAATTGACCATGATTATAATTTTCTTAGTTTTTCTTCCCTCTATTTCCTACATTTTCTGTAATAAGTATGTATTACATTTGGAAACAGAAAATAAAAACAGTGAATATTATTTTTAAGAGAAAAGAAAAGAAAGGAAAGGAAAGGAAAGGAAAGGAAAGGAAAGGAAAGGAAAGGAAAGGAAAGGAAAGGAAAGGAAAAGGAAAGGGAAAGAAAGGGAAGGAAAGGAGGCAGCCAGAGGTGGGTCCAGGAGATCCTGAGAAATGTCTTGGTGAGGAGGTGAATGGTGCCTGGGTTGAGGCATGCAGGTGGCCGAGGTGTCCTGGGCAGGGGGGCTGTGAGGCCAACTGCAACCTTTGGGCTGTTTGCCCAGCTTGGCCAGGCAAGCAGGGCGACCAACCATTGCTCTGCTCGGGAATAAGTAACTAGACACACTTGGAGCTGAGAGGTCAATCAACTGCTTTTTTTTCCAGAGCACTTATCACCTTCAACATACCACATTATTCATTTACTAATTTGCATATTATTCATTGTCTGCCTCCCTTTGCTACAACTCAAGCTCCAGGAAGCCAGGGGAAGTATGGGATCTTTGCTTTGTTCAACAATGGATCCCAACACCTGAAACATGCCTGGCACCCAGTAGGTGCTTAATAAATAGGTGTTGAATAAAAGGCTCTAGAATGGTATGAGAGTTCTGGAATATTCTCTAGGTTCTACAGCGTTCTTAGGGATTCCAGAGCAAAGTACAAACCGATCAGGGGGTTGCGGGACTCCGTCCTGCATCACTTTGGGGCAAACCTTCCCACTGAAAGGTGCCAACGCCAACCCCACAGGCTTACATGGGCGGGTAGGAGGTGGTGTTCTTCACAAAGTGCCACGGCTCTGCAGGCTGTGGTGGAGCAAACCTCAGGGATCCGAGCGGGGGCTTGGCAAAGGGCACTCCCAGGAACACAGACACAGGCTGTGCCAATCCTTCCAGGCGGACGTGCTTCCCCCGGACTTTGCCATGCACGGTGGCCACCACAGGTGGCGAGGACGGGAGACCTGCTGGACAGTGAGAGGAAATGAGGACACGTCGCAGCTGCAAGGCTTGACCTGGATTCCAGGGGGGGTTGCCACTTTCTAGGCGTGTGACATTGAATAAGTCACCTAAGCCCTCAGGCCTCAGTTTCTCCCAATGTGAAAAAGGGGTGAGGGTCACTGTCCTTCCTAACTCACAGAGCTGTTTTAAGGAGCGAATTGGAACAGGAGGCGGAAAAGCACCTAGTCAAAAACAAATGCAAGAAGGAGAGCTGCTGGGAAGAACAGGTCACTTGGTCTCCCTCTGAGAAGCCTCTGGAACATTTATCTATTACATCCTGCACTGGGCCGCATGCAGGGTGACAGGTGAACAGGAGGTGGCCCCTGTTCCCAGGACCACTGAACCTCACAGGGAGAATGAGCCATGTACACACTCGAGCCTAAATCTGGAAGAAATTGGTGGTGTCCTGGGAGAGGGACCTGTCAGGGGCTTCAGGAGGTAGAAGAGGAGGAGGCCATCTGACTGGGGGCACGTGGAGGCGCTGGGACCTGCAGCAGGAGGGGCTGAATGAGGGGAGATGAAGGCAGGGGGTGGTGTGAAGCAGAGAGGAGAGAATGTGCCGAGGCTCAGAGACAGCAGACAAAGACAGTTTGTCTTTGATTATAGACAAACATTCAATTTGTCTTTCAGTGTGTGTGGCCAGAACAGAAAAGAATAATCCAGATTCAGTCTCATCAGAGAATATTCAATGACATTAGAAACTTCTTATGCAGAACCTGGTTAAAATCAGTATCTATGTCTCATGTCATTGATAGCTGATCCAATACTGTGGACATTGAGGTTGTTTCGTTTTTGTTGGTAATTATTACAAATAACGCTGAGATGAACTTCCTTGGAGAGCTGTTCATTGACGTGGCAATGGGGTGGTGTTGGAGGTGACTTGTTTTCTTTGGGATTTCCAAGTTTTATGCACTGAACATAGATGCCGTTTCATAATTATAAGACAAATTTTATGAAGAAATATGGTGACATCTATAAGGACTTTTGAATGATTCGGTCCCTGAGCAGATATGGGGGACATGGAAGGGAAGGAGATGCAAGAGCTGCTTGTGAGGCTGGTCCCAGTTTAGACAGCGTCAGTGTAGGTGTCAGGGAGACATCCTGGCAAGTGGATCCCACAGGACGTGGGCACTTAAGACTCGAAGGAGGTCGGGTGAGGGGCAGAGTAGGTTCGTCTTCCAGAGGGTGAGGTGAGCACCATGGATGAGGTGACTTCATTGAAGAGGCCAGAGTGAGAGAGAAGAGAAAGAACATAAGATAAAGCAGGGACAGCTACAGCTGAGACTGAGAACATTCATCAGAGTCCTGGCAAGAAAATGCCAGACCTCACAGAAGCCCAGGAGAGAAGAGGAGGGTAATCTCAGAGAAAGCAATGGGCCTGGCAAGGAACGAAGTGGACAGAGGCCAGAATGCCAAGGGTGAAGAAGTGGGCGCATGTGTGGGAGGCACAAGCAAGGATGGGAACAAGAGCAGTTTCACTTGATGTTACATGTAGTGTGTATGTAGTGGGCACTTGCTACATGCCAGACATACATTCCAGTTTCTTTAAATGAACCCTAGAAAAGCCTTGCTAGGTAGGCATCGACATGCCCATTTTACAGATGAGGAAACTGAGGAAGAAGCAGCAGCCTGCAAGGACTTGCTAAGATGGAAATGGATGGCGTTGCCAGGGGTAACCAGAGGTAAAGGAATATTCCAGTCCACATTTGGTTCCTTTCTTACTCTGCCCTTACACGCAGTTCCAGGCTGTCTCTCACAGAGTCTCCCTGTCATAAAGACAGAACCCAGACAGGGCCTGGGCTGTCAGGGCTGATGGGGAACCCCTGGCTCTGGACGCAGGAGCCAAACATAGATCAGGACGCAGTTACGCAGGTGACCTTGGGCAAGTGCATTCTGCTTTGGGAGTCTCAGTGTCTCTGGCTATAAAATGGCACAGATGTAGCTCGAGGTCCTTCGCTGTCCCCTGCATTTCCCACGCCTGCCACTGTCTTTACTCTCAGCGTTGCCACTGAGGCCTTGCTGGTTCTGGAGGAACTGTCCCTCCCAGGTCCAACCATCCCAGAGCCCACACGCCAACCACCTCCTTGATAGGTTCCCACGCCCTGGGCCACCATCCACCTGCCCTAGTCACCCCAGAGCCAGTACCAGACATCTAGAGCCAGCCCTGTATCCCAAAGGCCCCCCAAAATTACTCACAGTAGCCAGCGCTCAGCCTGCTCACCCCGGCATGTGCCCCTCCTGCTGAGAACTGTGAGTAACAAACCGTCTTTTCAACGGTGATCACTGGCTCCTCATACATTGCCCTGACCATGCCTCAAAGTTTCTATTAATTCACCACATTTATCAACAACTCCTCCTTTTATCCATCCCTTTCCTGCACTTCCTCTGTACCAGGCACTGTCCTAAGTGCCTTAGAAACATCCCATGTCATCCCCACAGCAGCCCAGTGAAGTAGATACTATCGGCGTCCCTATGTTAGGGACGGGGTAACCAAAGCACAGAAAAGTTAAGTTCCTTGCCTAGGGACACACAGCTAGGAAGTGCTGAGCTGGGATTCAAACCCAGGTACTCTGGGTGCAAGGTCCTTGCTGACAGTATCCTGTTGCATCACTCTCCGTATCTGGCCATATCTCGACTAATAACGAAGAAGAAATTAAGCTGAGCTCCCCACATTCCTTGAGTGGGGAGTTAGGCGAGCCCGTCCCCCTCCTGCCTGAGGACATGCAGTGCAGTTGGGGTCTCAGGTGCTTCTCCTGCCCATGCAGGCTGGGGCCACCTCGGCTCTGCTGCTCCAAGGCCAAGTCAAAATTTGGAAGCACACACCTCTGCAGAACCAGACCTGTAGTGCCTTTTCTCTATACCCATCCCCAACCACTGCGGCCCAGGACAAGGATTTCCAAAAGCACCCTCGATATTTGTATTGCAGAAAGACTCACCGCAAGCTCTGGAAGTAGCGAGAGTGGCCAGGAACAGAGCACAGAGCCATGTTGTGGAAGGACAGCAGTGCCCAGGGCCTGGGAGATCTTGATGCCCCTCAGAGAAGCTGTGCCTTCCTGCCCCAGAGCCTGGGCCCCCACAGCCCAGGGAGCGAATCAGGGATAACAGAAAAGCTCTCTGCACTTCCAAAGACCCCCCCTTGGGGATTTATTGGAACCTCCAAGTCACACCGACTCAGTTCAGCCCTTTTATGTAAACAGCCCAGACTGAACTCTCAGACTGCAGGTAGCCGCGAACTTGCCCATCAACTTATTACATAAGAGTTTCTCCATTGTGGGTCTCCAACCTTCCTGGGCTGGGAGCTTCCCAAAGTCAGACACAAGCAGGCAGATGCCTTTAGGCAAAGGGGAGCATTGGTCTGGGGTCCCCAGAACAGGCTCAGAAATATGCACAGCAACTCACAGCCCCACAGTTGCTGGGCAACTTAGGACACATCTCTTAGCTTCCCTGGGCTTCTATTTCATAGAGTTCTAGGCTCTCAATTTCGGAAGCGATTTTAAATTCCATCCAGTCCCATTTCTGATCCCTAAAGTTACTTTACAATTTTCCTGCCAACTGGCCCAGCCTCTTATATCAGAGAACTCACTACCTCTCAAAGCAGGGATTTTTGGACAGAAGGTAAAAATGAACTTTATGTCTCCACAGTCTCTGGCTATAACCACCCACCCATCCGTGTATCCATTCATTCTTTGAACATTTCCCCAAATGCCCGACGCTTGGGCGGGTGTTATGGACACGAAGGCAAACTCAGGACGGGGTTCATCTTATCAAGGAGCTTTACCATTAGTAGTAAGACGGAGGTGTGTGTGAGTGGGGGGCTTGCAATGCTTGTGAAAGCACCAAATTGGGGGGTGCAAAGAGCTCTGGGTACTCCTGGGAAAGTGTAATTTACAAACTACTGGGGACACAAGGAAGATGCCCAAAGCCTCTTTCGTGGGATCATCAAATGTCCAACAATATGGAATTTGTTTAACACACTCTGGTACAGCTGGTTAAGGAAATATTATGTCAGGGGTCCTCAAACTTTTTAAACAGGGGGCCAGTTCACTGTCCCTCAGACCATTGGAGAGTGCGCACTGTGGGCCCAGGATGAGTCAGCTGCTAAGCAGGACAGGCAGCAGCAGCAAAAACACCCGAGGGGGTTGGATAGATGTCCTAGGCAGGTGGAATGTGGCCCTCGGGGCTGTAGTTTGAGGATGCCTGTATTATGTACTCACTCCAAGTAGTGATGCAAGTAGTGATGCACGTGTCTATATATTGACAAGGAAAGACAGTCACAATCTAGTGTGAAAAGGGCAAAAATAGGTGATAAAACTGTTGAGCCTGCTTTGGGAAACAGTTTGGCAGTTCCTCGAAAAGCTAAGCACAGAGTTACCATGTGACCCAGCAGTTCCGCTCTTAGGTAGATTCTCAAGAAAATTGAAATCGTGTTCACTCAAAAACTTGTAGTCAAATAGTACTATTATTCATAATAGCCAAAAAGTGGAAACACCCAAATGTGATGACGAATGGATACATAAAATGCAGTCTATCCACAGAGTGAAATATTATTTAGCGATAAAAAGAACATGCTACAACCTGGATGAAACTGGAAAACATTATGCTCAGTGAAAGAAGCCAGGCACAAAAGACAACATACTGTGTGATTATTTTTTACATGAAATTTCCAGAATAGACAAGTCCATGGAGACAGAAAGTAGATTAATGGTTGCCAGGGGCTGGGAAGAGGGAAATGAGGGGGCTGAAGAGTGACTGCTATGGGTATTGGGTTTCTTTGGAGGGAGATAAAAATGTTCTGGGATTAGATAGTGGGGATATTTGCACATCTTTATGATTATGCAAAAAAAAAAAAAACCACACTGAATTGTACACTTTAAAAAGGTGAATTTTATGGTATGTGAATTATATTCTCTGAAATAAAGAAATATATATTTAAAAATCCAGTTATATATAATATGATCTCATTTTA